CAGTTGAGAAGTCAAAGATACTAACGAGCGCATACTATCGGTTGAAAATGTAGCTTTGCTTTCTGAATGAGTTATGTACACATTATTGATTTGGTTAGCTAATGAGAGCTTCCTACTCACACAAGTCGCTGGCTTAGACACCTAAATACAGGAAGCATATATATTAGTATCAGAATCGGACGACCACACTACGTAACAGACATAATTGTATGTTCGAATCAAATTGGATAGAGTAGAGCTTAAATCTGCTAGTCAAACAATTTAAAGTTACACCTACACACAAGTCATTCATCCAATTTACGAAACTTTAAAAACAATCGAAAAAACACTGAGTACGATTTATTTGGAGGAACAACAGTAATTTTCTTGTTAGCCTGGTTTATTGGTGAAAATGGTGGGAGCCGATAGACCGAAATAATATAATTAGATTTAAGTCCGATACAATACGAACACTGCTGAACCAACTTCGGATTACGCTGTGAACTAAGAAAAAAAGGGAACCAAGGTTATCGGACGGCTGTATTGTTCTGGGTTTAAACTGCTCAGAAGTGCCCACCTACAACCTCGCCACAAATCCAGATAAGAAAACACAAATCTCAAGGCCAACGCTCGACTTTTAAACCTTCAAGTTGGAATTCAGTAGTCCATATATTTGATATGAATCAATTCTCAATATATAGCGACAACTTACTGACTTACTTACTTACGCCTGTTACCCCTCGTTGAGGAGCATAGGCCGCTCACCAGCATTCTCCATCCAACTCTGTCCTGAGCCTTCCTCTCCAGTTCTTTCCAGTTGGTATTCATCCTTTTCATATCTGCTTCTATTTCCCGGCGTAGTGTGTTCTTTGGCCTTCCTCTTTTTCGCTTCCCTTCCGGATTCCAAGTTAGAGATTGAGTCGTGATGCATATTGGTGATTTCCTTAATGTATGCCCGATCCACTTCCAACGTCTTTTCCTAATTTCCTCTTCAGCTGGAAGCTGGTTTGTCCTCTCCCATAAAACGCTGTTGCTGATAGTATCCAGCCAATGGATGTTGAGTATTTTGCGTAGACAACTGTTTATAAATACTTGTACCTTCCTGATGATGGTCGTAGTTCTCCACGTTTCAGCTCCATACAGTAGGACTGTCTTGACGTTCGTATTAAAGATTCTGACCTTGAAATTGGCTGAGAGTTGTTTTGAGTTCCATATGTTCTTCAATTGTAAAAATGCTGCCCTTGCTTTGCCAATCCTCGCCTTTACATCTGCATCCGATCCTCCTTGTTTATCAACGATGCTCCCCAGGTACTTGAATGTCTCCACCTCTTCCAGAGTTTCGCCATCAAGTGTGATTGGGTTGGTGTTCTCCGTGTTGCATTTGAGAATCTTGCCTTTTCCTTTGTGAATGTGGAGGCCTATCGATGCGGAGGCTGCTGCTACATTTGCTGTCTTCATCTGCATTTGTTCGTGTGTATGACAGAGGAGGGCTAGGTCATATGCGAAGTCCAGATCATCTAATTGATTCTGAGCTGTCCATTGTATTCCGTATTTCCCTTCAGATGTCGAATTCTTCATAATCCAGTCAATCACTAGAAGGGAGAGGAATGGGGAGAGTAGAAAGCCTTGTCTGACTCCGGTCTTTACTGGAAATGCATCTGTCAGCTGTCCTCCATGCATGACTTTGCACTGTAGTCCATCGTATAAGTTCTGGATAATGTTGACAATCTTTTCAGGAACTCCATAGTGTCGAAGAAGTTTCCATAATGCTCTCCTGTCCACGCTGTCAAACGCCTTCTCATAGTCAATGAAGTTGACGTATAGTGATGAGTTCCACTCGACTGATTGTTCAACGATGATCCGTAGTGTCGCAATCTGGTCTGTGCACGACCTATCCTTACTGAATCCAGCCTGTTGATCCCTAAGTTCAGCGTCTACTGCGTCTTTCATCCGATTCAGCAGCACTCTAATGAAAACGTTTCCTGGTACTGATAACAAACTGATGCCTCTGTAGTTTTAACATTTGCTCAGATCTCCTTTCTTTGGTATCTTGATGAGATATCCTTCTTTCCAGTCCGTTGGCACTTGTTCCTCTTCCCAAATCTTCTTGAATAGAAGGTGAAGCATGTTTGCAGTTAATTCAATGTCTGACTTCAGTGCTTCTGCTGGTATATTGTCAGGTCCTGCCGCATTCCCATGTATTTCTGTTTGTCGGCTTTAACGCTTTTCTTCACTTCTCTGTTTGCTTCTGCTTAGTCTGCTTGTGCTTTGATTTTCTCTGCCCGTGTTCGGCTGTTGTTAATTGCTAGTTTCTTGTTCTTCCTTTCTTGAATTTCGTCCAGGGTTCCCATAGAGATCCATTCCTTATGATGATGCTTCTTAGGACAGAGAACCTCCTGACACGTTGAAGTTAGTGCTTCTTTTATCCTTTCCAGTTGTCCTCCAAAGTAGCTTCTTGTTCACTCAGTAGATTCTGTAGAGCTTGGAACCTGTTGTTGAGAGTTATCTTGAATTCATGGAGCTTGTCAATATCTCAAAGGAAGGCTGTATTGAACCTTTGTAGTGCTGTTTGTTCAGTTGTCCAGTCTTTCTTTAGCTTCAGTCTCATCTTGGCCACAACCAGGTGATGATCTGAAGCTATGTCAGCTCCTTTCCGGGTTCTCACATCTTCCATTGATCTTCGGAAATTTTGTTGATACAGATGGGATCTATCTGGTTCTCCGTGGTTTGGTCCGGTGAGATCCATGTAGCTTTGTGTATGCATTTGTGTGGCAATATTGTGCCGCCTATAACCAATTTGTTGAATGCACATAGGTTTGCAAGTCTCTCCCCATTTTCATTTCTCTCTCCTAATCCATGTCGTCCAATTACATCTTCATATCCTGTGTTGTCCATTCCAACTTTAGCATTTAAATCTCCCATCAGGATGGTGAGGTCCTTTCGTGAGCACTTTTCTATAATTGATTGCAGCCTTTCATAGAACTGATCTTTATCATCGTCGTTGCTATAATTGGTGGGTGCATAACATTGAACAACATTCATTGTGATCCCTTGCTTCTTTGTTCTGAATGATGCTTTGATTATCCTGGGTCCATGAGATTCCCATCCCACAATTGCATTTCGTGCTTCTTTGGACAGCATTAGAGCAAATCCCTGAGTGTGTGGAGCAATTTCCCCTTCGTGACCGGAGTACAGCAGCATCTCTCCTGTACCTAGCCTTTGTTGTCCAGTTTGTGTCCAATGCGTTTCGCTGATTCCGAGTACTGCCAAGTTGTATCTCCTCATTTCCATTGCTGTTTGGCTGGTCTTTCCTGTCTCCCACATTGTCCGGACGTTCCATGTACCTATAAAAATTGTCGCTCTGGTTGTAAGAAGGTGCATCGGTCTCGTGACTTCCGAAGAATTCCGGCTTTCGTCATGAGACGTCATAATTATTCCTTCAACTCCCAGGGCAGAGTTTAAATGGTTTGAATTATTTTTTCTGGTTAGCGTTTTTTTAGCGAGTTAGCTTTTCTACGGGATGGGGTCGCTAACCCCATGCCCAACCCTCCTCCTTTACCCGGGCTTGGGACCGGCAGTAGCTCTAGAAGAGCTACAGGCGGAGCGACAAACATTTATTATAATTGATGACTGTTTCACTTGACATAGTTGAAATTTCAGTTTCGTAAACAATACACCCGCTGCGAGGTGTTGAGTAGGACTTCCTTGTCAGTGGTTGTATACGCGAGGCCATATGAGAGTATTTCGACAGGGAAAGTAGACTCCGTCCACCGTCGACTGTACCAGGGCATTTAGATCCATAGAACTTTCTAACAACAACAACACTCACTTTTCTTCAAGTACTAGGGACAAAGTTTTCTATCGACCATAATTAGTGGCCTTGTGTAATCTCAACTGATTCGTTAGGGTTACTTACTGTAGACTCCAAACTCTTCTCCCGAACACAAACAACAACTATCCTGTGCACGTCCACAAAAGCAATCCCACTGTTGGAAACAGCAGAAATAATGATAATTATAAATTTTATATACATCTACATGTGTAATTGAAGCAAATTAACGTATCAATATAGATACGATATTCTCGATCTCATTTACTTTTATCTCCAGTAAGTGGCATAGTATTTCTCTTCTAGCAGTCATAACAATCATCGTAAAAGGTGTAAACCCGAAATTGTTTAACTAGGAAATGTTTAGCCATAGTCCATTCTGGCTATAGACATTTTAATGCATAAATGATACGATCACAACTAGTAACTCGATTTTATTTTGAAAACTTTACACGTATATTTACTCAGTAGATTTCATATTTATAAACTACTTTATTTAATAGCTTTATTATTAATGGTCATTTTCTGTTTGAATTTCACACCAAATGATTAGTTTATCCATTCATTTGTTGCTAATCGATTGTCAAAAACACTACATGTTAATGTAACCTAATGTAAAAGTAAGTTTAACTCAACTTGGGACAGATTTCTGTACGTAGCATTGAACGACGCCGGCTAGTGATCGATCATTCGGTCAACATTCGATGTAGGACCTCATGATACGAGTATACATAAGTTCAAGTTCTCACACCTCAGATCAAATCAGGAAAACAAGAGGAAATTGGTAACAAGATGAAGCATAGGAATGTGAAGTATCAAAAACAATGGAAATCTAAACACGAGAAATATAGTTCATAAGGATAAGATCAAATAATGAAAAGCTAGTGATACCATTCGAACAGCTTTTATGAACTGAAAAAAATATTATGGTAGTGTTTGGCTTTCGAGGAAGAGCTGAGATACGAACCTAGGCAGTCGTATAGTTGTTTATAAACAATTACGACCTAAGGAAACAACGAAATATTTATTTAAACACATAAATATTGGTACGAAGGGGCACCAGATATATATGCGCCACACAAATCTCATTTAATTTGTGAGGGCTTGGATACTACCCGGGTGCCCAGATCGAAGCAGGTTGTTTTCTTAGGAGACCACAGCCGGAAGCCTTGACCTAAAGGTCTGATCCACAAGGCAGTGGAGCATCGTGAGGAAACAACGAAAAGCTGCATGCTTCAGGGATTTTCACCGTCGCAATTCATAAAGATACGTAGATAATGTTGTGAAAATTTTAAATGGGATAACTGGCTTGAATTTACAAATTAACATCACATTGAATTACTGGAAAATGTTCCAACTGATTGGGGTCCAGGTGATGATTGTAATCAGTGATTGGAGACGTTGGATAACACGACTCAGAGTCATTCACGGTGGGACACTTGCACCATAGTGTGTATATCATAGCTTGATACACAAATTACTATCCAGTTTCTTATTTGATCTAGTATTTTATAACTCAAGGAAACAAAATACTACTACTAATGTAAGTTTAAGTGAATACAAGTAGGTCCTAGATAACAGTAAAGAATTACTCAATACTCCTAGGACAATTATCACTACAGAGCAGTAATAAGTTTAGAGTAAAACTTCCAATTGTTTTTAGACTGGTTGTTTTCTGAAAACCTAGCAAAAATAAATGAGCCTACCTCCTATTTTCCACAAAGTAACTAATTAGTGTACTACAAATCAAATGTGTACTTCACGAAACTTCCAGTCAAAAGAGAGTGAAACATTTGTTTTACGTTTAAACGAATCATGATACGATACACAAATGAATTCAACAACTCAGTAGTAATAGTTATTGATATTAATGACAAAATGGGGTGAATCAAGATTTCTATCGAATAGTTCTTGTTTGATCTTAACTAGAAACACCAACCTGGATACCAGTAAATGCTTGTGTTATACTGCAGACTAAACAAATATACAATATAGAAATCTTAGGTCTGACTAACACGTAAACGCAAAATAACATAAAATACAATATCAATACGTTCGAGATATTCAACATTTTTTGATTCCCCACGATTGTGGATGGTATGACACATCAATCAGTAGAGTACTCTCATAGAGTGTAATATACAGGTAAACAAAATGTTATCATTTCTCAACACACCGTTTCATAATTTTAATTTTGTTAACATAATCACATTCAACAGTGAACAAAAATTAAGAATTGTGGACTGATAGGTCATTTTATAAATAATGAATACTACCTATATATACACATGTCTATGAACATTTTGGTGCAAAATGAAATCATTTCAGTGTTTTAATAAGATGGCGAGTCATTAAATTTGAAAAACTGTGAGCACATAGTAACAGTGGTGGATATTTTCGTGTGTGTTCGTGTTACTCTCTCTCCCTAAACAGCGAGCCATGTGAATAGTTGTCTTAGGCATTTGCATGCCGAATAACTAAAACAACAAAGTAAAATGAGTAGAGACACATGCCACTTACTGTGTAAATGTATGTGTACCTAAAACATTTTATGGCAGATTGCCATCCACACAACTAATATTGAGGTTAACAATACTGAAATTCATAGTGTCATGATATTGAAATAGGAGAATAATAAAGCTATATGGGCTGGAGGCGAACGACTCACAAAAAACTTATGGGAAAATTAGCATGGAGATTTTCTGACCACCTTAAAAACTTGAAAATTACATCATCTATAGAAATAGGGCACACAATTGATTTGAGGTGGAAATAAAGTCATTTTGAATAGTGTTTCAGGTTGTACAAAAACTGAGTGACAGAAATCTACACATGTGAGAATAAGTGTCAGAAGCTAAGAGTGTAGCCAGAGACATTTTTAATAATAACTACTCGATAACTTATAAATGTTTAACACAAACAACTACTGGGAAGATTCTTTTCATGTCCTTATATACTCAGAAAACAAAAGCAGCACACATACACAATAAGGTTACTACATATGATAAATCATTATACTCAAAACACAGAGCCAACCTCCAAATAACGATTGGATAAGGCAAAAACTTGGGGAATTTTTGACTTCGTCTACGTATATCATATAACCTTTGCTATGATCATTTTCTTGAAAATCGAAATACATCGTCAGACTAAAACATTGAAATCGTTGGAATACTTACAAACATAAATCTAATATTAAAAACAATATGAATTGTATTTACTGATATTATATGGCATATTGGATGTAGCAGAAACATCCGGGCATACTGGCATTGGAACATTTTGGCCTGGCATAGAGTATATATTTGGATTTGCGGCTTGATTAAAAGGACCAGCAAAATTGGGCAACTGAGGCATAGGTATATTGGGAAGTATGGGTGCAGAACCGGGTATCTGCCATCCGGTACCAAGCTGAGTTAAATACACATTGGATGTTTGACCATTTGGCATGACAGGAATAGGAGGCTGTGGTAAGGTACCTTACATAAACCAAATAGAGCAACACACTTGTGATTTTAATTTATAATAAAACAATATAAATTGCACATTAAAGTGGGATCAAAAAGAATAGGTGCTTTAAAAATTATTATGGTGATTACAACTCGTATTATTAAGTAAGAACAATAACGATATCTGACCTGGATAAGGCATTGAACCAATGCATTGGGGATTTGACGGAGGATTTAAACTTCGCCGTTTTGTGATGGTAGATTTAGAAAACACTGGAGATGTCTCACCAAAAACAGCCTGTAACACTGATATTAATTCAACTAGATCTGCATCTGGCTGTTAGTTTTAAACAAAATAAATGGGGGTTAACGGTAAAAAAATCAGACTCTTAGTGAAACACGGTAATCAAAAAAATTATAAGACTACGAAATCAGTATTTTAAGTAGAAAAGTAATTAAGGTGAAATGTTACTAGCTTTAGAGTGGTAAATTAATCTCTGATGTGGGGACTTGAAACAATAAACATGTCCCAGATTTTGCGTTGCGTACGAATTACTGTTGTTGAGCCATGTCACTCAAGGTCTCGAACCATCGGTTGTTATCATCTCGCGGATCCCCCCCAGGTAGTCCACATCTACCAACATGGCTCAGTCAATTTGACAGTGACTTCATAGATTTGTGTCATGTTTTTGTCTGGCTGCCCATAGCTTTCTTACAACCTACTCCTACACCATATAACATCGCACGTCGGGGCAGTCGCCGGTTCGGCATACGTGATACGTGTCCCGGCCACCTCAAGTGATGAAGTTCCACCACTCCATCAATCGATTTGCCATCCTTACCTAGTACCCATTTTCTAACAACTGCATTATTTACTCGGTGGTCTCAGGATATACAAGCAATGCTTCGAAGACACCCATGATCGAATACTAGCAACCTACGAATGTTCTCTACTCTTACCGGCCATGTTTTACTGCCATAAGCCCCCTAATGCCCTGGTACGGCCGAGAGTGGGGAGAGTACGCTCTCACTCTCGAAATGCTCTCATATGACCACGCGAATATATAGCCTCTGCCAGGGAAGTCCTGCTCACTGCCATCTCGTGGCGGGGGTGTTGTTCACAAAATTGAGAGGACGAAAAGCGAATGTCCGGCGCTTTAACCGGGTTGGTGGATGTGGAGGATCCACCTAGAGGAGTTGGAAAACCCTGATTCCAAACCAATGGTGCACATGGGCTCCAGTATCCTGAAGGAACGAATGGCGCATGAACCAACTGTCGGTCACCGGCTACTATGGGACTGCATCTCCTTACGATGCTCCACTGCCTTGTGGATCAGACCTTTAGGTCAAAGGCTCCGGGTGTGGCCCCCTAAGAAAACCACCTGCTTCTTTGGCATCTGAGCAGTATCACAGCCCTCACACAAATCGAATGAGAATTGTGAGGCGCATATTTATCTGGTGCTTCCTTGTACCAATATTTATGCGTTTAAATAAATAGATAAATCACTGAGCTGGCATCTAACGGTGTTAATGTCTAACTTCAACTGATCTACGAAGTTGAGCAACCATTCACCAATTGTCTTCAGTGAGTTCCTATCTCACAACAGACGTGGTTTTGAACTCCACTGGTCACTGCTTCTCACTAGAGCTCCTAGATATACTTCTCGAAGTCACTAGTGAGCATATGATTATATTAATCATCAGAAGGGGTTTTTGTGGAGATTTAGTATTTTTCATAGTAGAAAGCATGAGTCTGTTGTGAGATAGGAACTCACTGAAGACAATTGGTGAATGGTTGCTCAACTTCGTAGATCAGTTGAAGTTAGACATTAACACCGTTGGATGCCAGCTCATTGGTCTATCGGTTAAGGGCTTTGGCTCGAGACTGGTAGGTCCTGGGTTCGAATCTCGCGGGAGCGGGTTCGTGGATGCGCACTGCTGAGGAGTCCCATAATAGGACGAAACGGCCGTCCAGTGTTTCCAGATTTTCCATGGTGGTCTAGCTTCAATTGACTCATGCTTTCTACTATGAAAAATACTAAATCTCCACAAAACCCCTTCAAATAAATAAATAAAAATACTGCCATAAAGTAGGACAGAATGAACTGCTACGCCGTAAACCCTTCCTTCAGTTGCTAGACGGATATCTCGTCTACGCTATAAATGACGCAAGTCGACGATAGCTAGATAAGCCTTCTGTATACATGCTGAGATCTCGTCACACACCAGACCACAAGGGCTGATGAGACTTCCAAGATAACTGAAGCGGTCAACACGCTCAACTATTGCATTCCCTATCATTAGTCCAGGTGTCGATGAAACCCAATCCTGAAGTAACATTTTGCATTTCAAGGGGCAGAATCGCATCCCAAACATGCATGCATCATTGCCTATAGTGGTCAGAAAACTCTGCTTTTTGTCAGCGTCTTCATGAAATAGGACTATGTCATCGGTCACACACGACCTTTTTGTGGGTAGTTTTTGTGTTAGCTGCGTTCTTCAAAGGACCTTACCGCCGGAGACGGATATCCGTGGGATAAGGCGAGGTGTGCATTTTTAGGGTCGACCTTTTCTAACCCCACCCCTCCTTGTAGGAAGACAGCATCGCTGTCATGCTGGTTGTCTGAAGGAAATACCTTACTGCTGTCACACCTCTGTACAGTCAGCAGTACGACTTCGCCTTTGGACCTTGGGTTTGCTGCTTTTAGTCTCACCGCTCTTCAAACGACCTGCCTGACATGGTAGGACCTTGAGGAACGATTGATCCAGCCAGTATAGCTCGATTTAATCATCACGATAGGCAAGCCCGACCACCACGTCAAGGTAGTAGCAGCGTATGAACCAATTGTTGATCACCGGCTACCAAGGGACTGCATCTCCTCACGATGCTCCACTGCCTTGTGCATCAGACATTCAGGTCAAAGGCTCCGGGTGTGGCCCCCTAAGGAAACCACCTGCTTCAGTTTGGGCACCTGGGCAGTATCACAGCCCTCGCACAAATCCTATTTGATTTGTGCTTCCTTGTAATAATATTTATGTGTTTAAATAAATAAACAAACTCCTCTCAGTGGCAAACATTGCCACAGAACCTCACGATCAACGGCAACAGTAAATGATGAGAATAACAACCGTATATAAACCTATGCACCTTTTTTCAACCTGTTTCATCTGCAGTTAGTACTTTATATTTGTATAGACTGTCTTGGAAAGTAAAATACGTCCTGTTTATTTTACCAGACGCATATTGGCTTCTATCATTCTTCGTAGGTTGTTTAAAACCCGAGAACGATTGACTCGCGAGGAGCAGGCTGGTTTTCGTTCTGGTCGAGGATGCATTGATCACATCTTCACCCTCCGCCAAATGTTAGAACACCGTCATACTTATCGCAGGCCAACAATCGTAGTGTTTCTTGATATCAGGGCTGCCTTCGATTCGTTGGACAGGACTGTTCTCTGGGATTGTCTATTGAAGAAGGGTGTGCCTGAGAAGTTCATTAACATCTTAAAAGCCCTGTATACGAACACCTCAGGCAGAGTGAGGGCATACAACCACCTTTCTCCCTTGTTCCATTCGAGCAGTGGGGTTAGGCAGGGTTGCCCGATCTCCCCATTCCTCTTCAACTTTGCCATCGACGACATCCTAGAAACAGCTCTGATGGATGTAAGTAATGGCGGTGTGGATATGTTGCCTGGAGAACGACTTCTCGACCTCGAGTATGCGGATGATATTGTCTTACTGTGCGATAATGCCCAAGGCATGCAATCAGCACTTAATCAGTTGGCAATCAGTGTCCGCAGGTACGGCATGTGCTTTGCACCCTCCAAGTGCAAAGTACTTCTACAAGACTGGCAGGATTCTCATCCTGTACTCACCCTGGATGGTGAGCAGATTGAAGTAGTTGAGAAGTTCGTGTATCTAGGTAGCTATATAAGTGCTGGTGGTGGCGTGAGTGATGAGATTGATGCACGTTTAATGAAAGCCAGAGCGGCTTATGCCAATCTGGGCCATCTTTGGCGCCTTTGTGATGTTAGTCTGGCTGTAAAAGGTCGGATCTACAACGCGTCGGTGAGAGCAGTTTTGCTCTATGCTTGTGAAACCTGGCCTCTCCGAGTTGAGGATGTTAGACGTCTCTCTGTGTTCGATCATCGTTGTCTCCGAAGGATTGCTGACATCCAGTGGCAACACCATGTTAGTAATGCAGAGGTTCGGCATCGTGTGTTCGGGCGCAGAGACGATAATTCAATTGGTGTCACCATCTTGAAACACCGACTTCGGTGGCTCGGACATGTTTTACGAATGTCGTCCCAGAGACTTCCACGTCGTGCATTGTTTGCCGACCCTGGGACTGGTTGGAGAAAGCGGAGAGGAGGTCAGTGTATGACATGGTGTCGTGGCATGAAAGAGAGCTGCAAAGGGCTAGCTTCCGTTGGTCCTTCACGACTCCCTGGTTGGGGTCCGAGAGATAGTGCAACACAGTGGCTAGAGACGTTATCGGATATGGCTCAGAATAGAAGCCAGTGGCGATCCTGCTGCAACCTTCTTTTACTTTCTACATAAAGAATGGTTCTAACTTTCCTAACTGAAAGAATCTTCTGGTTGTACATTTCAGCCCGCCTTATCTTTTCATCCTTTATCTACCTACTTTCATTATTTTGTGTGGCGCATATGTACCTGGTGCCCTTTTGTACCAATATATATGTGTTTAAATAAATAAATAAATAATTTACAACCACTGATCAAGACACTTTGAAAAGCCATGTAGTACAATCGAGTTTCCACAGGCTTTCAGATATCTTGTTAATATGACAAATGGTGGAAGATAGACAACATAGGTTGTGATTTCTAAGATTTCACCGCCAAATGTTGGCTTGCAAAGGCTGATACAAGCCTAGATAAGCAAAATAATAGCTTTCTATTCTGTAGTTACAATAGGTACCGGAATTGACAAAGTTTTATATAAGTTTTAAATATTGAAATAAGTCCACGGGACGATACTTTTGTTCCTGGCAGTAAGATATCCCACAAATAATACTGAAATAATGACCATAGTATGTTGTCTGATGGTCATTACCAAGGGATTCAAGAGATTATTTTTAAAGACAAGCCAGTATCCGACAATGAAAAGTATTATTGAAGGCTTCCAGAATACATTCAGTTGTATAAATCCCCTATTAAAACCAAGGTGAGATTGTTGAGTTTTAAATAGTTAGGTCTTAAGGACTAATATTTTAATTCACACAGAATAGAGTTGAAATTATTACTTAACTACTTATTTCGAATGAAACCACAGTCTAAATGACACTTACTTGAAATTCCTATCCCGGACAAACTGATAGTCCACGAGAAATTTACACTTTCTAGAAGTGATTCATCACTTTTAAAGTAAAATCAGATAAATGTTGGAATGGGAATCGCCAAGATACGACCTTACAAAAATAAACATTAACGTGAAGAGCTCAACAGACACGCTCAATTGGTATTCCTAGTTTGCCCTATGGCTTATAAATGGCATAACAAGTAATTTAACAAAACCAATGAAGTATCAGATTAAGTAGAATCTATGGTTACGGGAGACTTGGAGATGTATGTTATTACGTCTGCTCAGAAAGACTCACATGTTTCCAATCTGTCATGTAAGGCAGTTGAACAAGACCAGCACTATCAACAAAGTCACTTGGCTTTATCTGCATAGTATTTGTGGGCCTCACATAAACCATGGGAGCCTTATGAGGATAGGCTTCGAACAGAAATATTGCAATGGGGATATTGTAAGTTGAACCCATATACCTGACAGGAATAGTGCCGTCCAAGCTCACGAGTTTCCGGGAAGTTCCATCATTTTGGACTATATAGTGCATTAATTAATATTTAAACTTACTGAATTCTTCGAACTTGGGACGTAATTCTTTAAATGCTTTCAGGGCACAAGTAACATCTCTACGAACGATTTGTGGGTATGTATACTAAAAAAGAGTTTGAATGATGTTTAGTGAGGCTTCAAAACTTACTTTCGCCAGACATTTAGCGGAAGTCCATTCATCGGCAGACATTACGTAGGTGTCTAAATATGCCACACTTGTGAAGGTCGAGATCATCAAGGTAACTCTGTGTAGCGGCCACGTTTAGCCATGCGAACATGCGAAGTAGCGTGCTTGAGGACTGGAAAGGAGAAGAACAGAAGAAACAGTAAAGCGAAGATACAGCAAGTGCACACGATGAGCTAAAAGCACATAGTTAAATACGCTAAACTCCAATCTTTAGTCTTGGTGAATCAGAAACACGACATCAAAAATGGTTTTTAACATTGACTGTTCAAGTTGTTCGAATGGTCTTGGACTAAATAGAAGAAGAAGCTTTCATCTAACGGGCTACTGTTTCCAGTAGCAGTGGATCACCAATACCTCCAGACAGGAAACTAGGTATATTAACGATAATAGACGAAAAAAGAAATTACTAAATCATAATAAGATGTTGTTGCTGTAAATAATTCCCCAAAATCAATAGCTCCGCAAGTGTTTGACATTGGACTCGTTTAGCTGAAGGCACTCGGTCATGCATCCGTACCAGATCACGTTACAGAACGGCGTGGGAACTGTAGCTGTAAATAATTCCCCAGAATCAATAGTTCATTAAGTGTTCGACATTAGATGCTGACAACGTTGTTTAAGTGGACTTGTTTAGCTGAAGGCTTTCGGTCATGCATCCGCATCAGGTCACGTTTCGACTCCGCATGGGACACAGCTCCTACGTTTCATTAGCCAGCTCATAGAAAAGGTCCTCGATATATTGGTAACGAATCAAATATATCTTTCCTGCCTCTTCTCATCTGACTTCTGATTTCTATCTGACTGGGAACGATCAAATATAGAAGGTGCTACTGGTAGATAGTTGTAAAACTAGAACATCCGTTGCATCATCATTGGCGAACCCGACGTGATCTGGTACACCAAGTCAATATACTGTGAGTCTGTTCCATTTTGGAATATTATTATTAATTGTTATTCTTTATTTGAATTTTATATATTGTGATATACTTTTTTTCACGAATTTTTTTTCTCGGATATATTTTAGACATTTTTCGTTATCTATATTACTATGACGGAACACTCTCCTAAGGTTCTTAAGTTTAAGTCTATTCCCCCTATTTCGATTCAGTTAACGCCATTTTGGCCCGACAATATCGAGTCCTGGTTCTGCTACGCAGAAGCCGATTTTAGCATGCACGGAATCACGGACTCGCGCACACGTTTCCTCGCGGTAGTTAAGGCGTTACCGCGCGAGTTTAACAGGTACGTAACACCTAGTATGTTTACTAGTGATGTTTCCGAACCTTACGAAACGCTTAAGCTATCGATTTTAAAACGAGGAGACCTAACTGATCGACAACGGTTAGATCAACTCCTTAACAATATCGACTTGCAACATGGTTCTGCGACGGACATGTTGTTTAGAATGAGAGAAGTCATCGGCCAACGAACTTTCGATGATGGCCTATTTAGACAACTTTTCTTGTCTAAACTCCCTCAACAGGTGCAGGCAGTGCTTGTTGAACTAGCTGCATCTGCCGATCGAATCTTGGAAATCACTAGATCTTCTAAGGCCGAGGTTTTTTCCGTCAAAGAAAAACCCCAATCGACCTCGACTGACATGGCCGAACTATGTCACACGCTTACACGATATCTTAGAGTTCGCAATGACCGTAGTCGGTCAAAAACCCCGCGTAGAAGCGCCTCACTGGTGCTGGTATCACAACCAGTACGGTGAGTTTTCCAGAAATTGCGGGAAACCTTGCAATTATCCGACTTCAAAATCGACTGACACGAATAAGATTTCGGGAAACTTCCCAGCCAGCACGCGTTAACGGCAACCGTAGCCGGCGAACACAGCCGCCTCTTATATGGCACGGATGTGACTACGAAAGTTCGCTACCTCGTCGACACCGGCGCAGAAGTTAGCTTTCTTCCCGCGAACCCCAACGACAGACTTCACGAGTCTGTTTTAAGTTTACAGGCGGCAAACGGAAAACCAATCGCTACTTATGGTAAAAGGTACGTCTACCTTAACGTGGGTTTACGCAAACCCATACACTGGATTTTCGTTGTTGCAGATGTCTCTATGCCAATCATTGGTATAGACCTGTTACAACACCACAATCTACTCATCGACACACGCTCACGAAAGTTAATAGACAGAAACACTAAGTTATCTGTTAGCGTAACTCCTTGTTCTGGTTGCAGGTTATCCCCAGTCACGATTAAGCACACCATAGACCCCTTGTACCAATCAGTACTCGACAAATACCCCAGGATATACCAATCGCAATCGAAATCGCCTTGTGTAACCAGCAATGTTACATATCACATCTCGACTACAGGACCACCTGTATTTTCGAAAGCTCGAAGACTCGCTCCCGAGAAGCTTAGATTATCTAAAAACGAATTCGACCACATGATGGACCTAGGGATAATTCGACCATCGAATAGTCCATGGGCATCCCCATTGCACATGGTCCCTAAAAAGGACAGCAATGATTGGCGGCCAACTGGTGATTATCGGCGTCTGAATGCTAAAACCATTCCCGATCGTTACCCGCTGCCTCATATTCACGATTTGACAGCTACCTTGAAAGGTACAACTGTCTTTTTGAAAATCGACTTGGTTAAAGCTTATAACCAAATCCCGATGGCAACTGACGACATTCCTAAAACCGCCATCATCACTCCCTTCGGTCTTTACGAATTTCTACGAATGCCTTTTGGTTTAAGAAACGCGGCTCAAACCTTCCAAAGGTTTATAGACGACGTCTTCCGAGGTCTCAACTCAGTACATGCGTATGTTGATGACTGTCTAATAGCAAGTCCGGATAGAGAATCACATCTCGAGCATCTGGACATTGTTTTCGATCGACTCCAAAGGCATGGCATTACTGTCAACATACAGAAATGCCAAATCGGAACCAACACCTTAGACTTCCTAGGACACACCATTGATGCCCAAGACATCCGACCCCTTAGGAGCAAAGTGGCAGCCATTCTGGATTACCCAGAACCGACCACGATCAAGCACTTACGAACTTTCAACGGACTTGTAAGTTTCTATAGACGGTTCATACCCAAATTCGCATCCCATATGAAACCGTTAACCGACCAACTTCGTGGAAATGCTAAATAAATTAGTTTAGACGACATAGCCCGTAAAGCATTTTCCACAGTTAAGGGACACATCGCTAAAGCAATCCTGCTTGCTCATCAGGACACTCAAGCGCCCATTAGTATCGCCGTAGACGCATCCGACTCAGCAATCGGAGGAGTCTTACAACAATGGGTTAACAACTCGTGGCAACCTTTAGGATTTTTTTCGAGACGGTTGCTAGACGCGGAATCTAGGTACAGCACTTCGGTAGGGAAATCGTAGCTATGTATTGTGCTGTACGGCATTTCCAACATTCTGCCGAAGGAAGAGAATTCACGCTTTTTACCGATCACAAACCTCTTACCTTCTCTTTAAGTTCATCTTCAGACAAGTACTCACCGCGAGAGTCTCGACAACTCGACTACATTTCGCAGTTTACTTCAGACATACAACATATTTCTGGAGCTAACAATGTAGTCGCAGACGCCTTGTCTCGAATAAATTCCTTGAACAGTTTCCAAGGAATCGACCTTCTTAAACTCACTCAGCTTCGAAAAGAAGACATTGATCTTCAGCATGAGTTATCCTCGACAACTCTTAAACTGCGTATTCAACAGATGGGAACAGGTAAGGAAACCTTACTCTGTGACACATCTACAGGTAGGGATCGTCTAATTGTACCAAAACATTATCGACGCAACGTCTTCAATACGTTGCACAATCTTTCTCATCCAGGTGCTCGTGCAACAATCGAACTTATAGCCGAACGCTTTTGCTGGCCTGGCATGAATAAAGACATGAGGGAGTGGGCACGCTCCTGTGTAAGCCGTCAGAAATCTAAGGTAATCAGACACAACAAATGTCCCTTAGGCTCTTTCAAAACCCCTGACGCTCGTTTCGACCACGTTCATCTAGATTTGGTAAGAACCCTTATCCGACTCGAACGGATACTCATATCTCTTAACATGCGTAGACCGTTTCACTCGATGGCCAGAAGCAGTACCGATTAAGGACATTACTGCTGAAACTGTGACTCGCGCTTTCGTCGAACGATGGGTAGCAAATTTCGGCTGCCCTTCAACCATCACTACAGACCGCGGACGTCAGTTCGAATCTGGACTTTTCCGTTGTCTGACCTCACTATGAGGAATCACGCGCTTCCGAACGACCGCCTACCACCCACAAGCAAACGGGTTGGTAGAACGTTTTTATCGACAACTAAAAGCTTCATTATCATCTTCAAACGTTTGACAGTGAACAGACGCTCTTCCACTTGTCTTGCTAGGTATCCGCAATGCAGTAAAGGCTGACATTGGATACACGGCATCTCAACTAGTTTACGGAACGACACTCCGACTCCCAGGAGAATTCGTATATCCTTCGTCCTCTTCAATGAACATGGATCTAAACAAGCAGGCTTGCAAACGCAATGCGTTCAGTTAAACCTGCTCGGACTCGACCACAATGAACTGATGATTTCGTTCAACCCGAATTACGACATAGTACACACGTCTTCGTTCGTCGAGACTCACATCGACGACCTCTTGAATCAGCATACGAAGGACCCTTCAAAGTTCTTCAACGCGAACCTAAGTACTATGTAGTCGATAAGAACGGTGCGAAAGATAGCATGAGTATCGATCGACTCAAAGCTGCGTACCTAAAAGCAAACCCAGCTACGTCGATTTTCCTTCGGTACAAGCAAACGACACAGCTACTGCACTCGTAGTACCCTACACGACAACCGACACACAACTTGATACTTCGTCAACGTTGATAGAAAAACCTAAAACAACGCGTTCTGGAAGACGAGTAAGATTTCCAGAACATCTTAACGAATATTGCACGTAGGACATAAGCTTTATCTTGAATTACCTTTTCATAGCTTATTATAAAATTTTTTTTAATATGCTCTTTTTTTTATTTATATAAAAAAACAAAAAAACATTACATTT